AACTCAAGTGTGACTATCCATTTGTCTTAAAGTGCTCTTAATCAGCCAATAACAACAATAGATTGCTACTTTAGGAAAATAGATTAGCTCAAGTGCGTTTTCCCCAATGTCCAACAAGTCCAACAGGATTATTTAACTGGGTGTGACGCTTTCCCCATCATCTTGCATTAGGGCATGTAATATGTAAATAATGAGGCTGTGCATTACAGAAAAAAAAAACTTGAAAAGATTGTGAGAGCAGATACAGAGTGTGTCCGCCTCATGTAGCTCATAATTAACTTTCCGTTTTCCTTTAATTTCATGGTCAACAGAAAGAATGGCAGTGGACCAAACTGTTGTGTGGCAGTAATGTCTCAGTTCTTCTGGGTCCCGGAAGGTGAGTCTTATCAGCAACCCATGTGGTGGTGTCAGTAGCCAGGACCCAGACTGTGCTATTGTGCCGCTGCCTGGAACCGAGTGACGGATGACAGCACCTTCTCATTGGAGGAAATGAGGAGGCCAAAGGCGAGCCCGCGTCGGGCCAGATTTTTCAGCAAAAACCCTGTTCTCACCCACTTACTTTGGACTCTGATAGAGCCATATAGTCCACAAAGGCAGGCCTATGATAATAGTTAACACTCCCTCAGGGCTCATTGTGTTAACCAGGTTAGGAAAAAAGATACCCTAATTAGCTGTCTTGTTTGAAAGACAGTGAGAGGGTGATTTGTTTGAGAGCTGACACCTTGTTCTGTGTATCACAGTTCTAACTTAGAGACCATGAAAAGAGGAAGTGAGGTCAGGCCAGTCTGGATCCCCTGCCCTTTGCCCTCCCTTGGGCCTCATAAATTAGGCTGCTGTAATTCCCTCCCAGACGGCCTTGCCCCAGCAGGTGTGTGTTTGTATATATGAGTGCGAACAGAGGGGGATGTAAGGGTTGTAATATCTATGATCTACGGTGTTGGGAATGTAGTTTGGGAGGAAACAAGCAACCTAAATATGCTTATCCTCTCTGCTGCCACGCAGTCAATGTAGATAAAGACAGTGCGGGGAGGCAGGCTTTCAAATGAGAGGATGTAGGTGCCTCTAGTTGCTTATATACGCTGTCCCACTTGGCTAGAGCTGGTGAAATTTTTTTTTAAAAATTATCAAAAGGTTGAATCAAGTTCAGCTTGCTGCTGGAGGAACTCTCTCTAACTTGCTGAATCAGTAACAGCTCTCTTGGGAAGGACAATGTTACCATAAAATAAAAGTATGCGTGCATCCTGGCTTCCAGAGGTAAACATCCTTGAGAGAAAATATTAGCATCTGTCCAGCAACCGCGGTGGTATTTCTATCAAAGTGACAGACTGTTTTGGCAAATATCTGACTAGTTATCAATAAAGTCCCATTTTTGTAAATACTAACTGTATAAAATATCTAACAATGCAGCTTCAGCACGCAGCGGGTTTTGGCAATGCTGATGCTCAGATTAACCATTAGGATCAAAGCTGACCAGGCCTTCAATCGGACAGCTTTGCTACAAGCTCCAGCGCTGGCAGGCATTCATCCTCATATATGAAGATACAGAGTCCCAGATCTGTAGCTGACCCTGAACTTTGACCTCCTAGCAAAAGGGAGAATTGGTCTCCCCATCTGGATTCAAAATATACAACATAATTAGAAGTCATGAAAGATAAAGTTTGTTTCCTTTGTCACTTATCATATTTGTGTCTCTTTACCTAATCCAGACAAAAAAGCAAGTACTTTGGGTTAAAAAAAAAAGTAAAAAAACATCTTCCACTTCCTGTCTTTGTGTCTTAGCGTGCATATTTGTATAAAGCCAAAGTGCCTGAGTTGGTAAAAAGACAAAATCAATCAAGTGGAACAACACAACGTAGACCTTGTGTTTGAGGTTCCACCCAGCTTGAAGGCCACATCAGCGAAAAACAATGAGACACAACCATTTTTAATATTCCTTCAAAGTCCAAATGCAGTCCTGTTAAAAAGTACACCCAATGATTCAGCAGCTACCTTTAGAAGCAGTAACTCGAAGTTATAATTTTCTTTTTAACTTTATCAGTCTCTCACATCGCTAAGAAGGAATTTTGGCCCACTCTTTTTTACATTATTGCTTCAGTTCATGTGGGCATTTATTTATGCACATCCCTTTATAGTATTTCAATCAGGTTGAAGTCAGGACTTTGACTGGGCCATTGCAACGCCTTGATTTATTTTTTTCTTCTTCATCCATTCTGCTGTGGATTTGCTGCTGTGCCGGGAATCACTGTCTTGTTGTATGACCCAGTTTTAGCGAAGCTTTAGCTTTTAGACAGATGGCCTCACATTTGTTTCTACAATACTTTGCTATTCAGAGGGGTTCAATGTCGACTCAATGAGTGCAAGCTCCAACTTTGTAAACCTAAGCCATCCTGCCATGTCCTTTTTTAGAAAGAGGAAACTCTTCCAAATAAGCCATACACATTCAGTCTTTTCATAATTGTACTGTCGTGAACTTTAACATTTAACATGCTAATTAACGTCTGTAGAGTCTGAGATTTAGCTTTCTAGTTTGTCTGCAGTTTCTCTGAATGTTTCACAAGACTGCATACTGCCGTGTGTACACTTTCTTATTCACTGTATGTGAATGTATACATACCAACTTATACTCAAGCAAAACAGCTAAGGCATTTTAATGTTTTTTTTTAATTTACCTCTGTATTTTTGGAAATGTTTGATTAATTAAGACAAATTTCAGGAGAATGTTATGTAAAATAAATATAGGAGTTCCTGTATCTTATTATCTGTTTCTAGCAGTTGTGTTAAGCTAACTACTGGCAGTTTGCCCTTTTCTGCATTGTCAGGTGCAAGAGGACTATATATCACCTTATCCATCTGAAATATGCTCACTAGTGCTTAGGTGTTGTTTTATTTTGCGTGAGTGGCACATGCAGTCTTAAATTGTCAGGCTTCTTCCAATGGTGTGTAGCCCTTATGTCAGTGAGTTTACTTTTTGCCTCCATGTTGTTAACTGTGGGTTCCATACATTTGAACTTGTGGAACATACAGACCCCGTCAAAGCAATATTAGGCATGAGATGTCTGAGATTTTGCATCTTCCAGTACAATTCAACTAAGTTTGCACTTGGATGTATTCGTGGCTCATACTACGGTAGTTCACTGAGTCCAGTTGTAGGTTGTCATCTTTTGTCAGCAGGGTAGAAATCTGCATGCACACAAAAAAAGGAGATTTTATGTCATGATATCAAATGGAGCACAAAAGACATTTGCAACCTAAACTTGCACAGACAAACGCTCATGCACCCTGGTTGGAATGTAGTCTGACACAGAGATTACTGATATCTATTACTGCATGCACGGTCCGTCAGTCACTGATCTGCTCAGGGAGCAACAGGGAGGTCCTGTGCTCTTTGTTGTTGCTGTGTCTAGTTCCTTGTTAGAGAATTGATGACACTGTCTTTAGAAAACAAACAAGGCGGGAAGCTAAAAAGGTGGTCACTCACCACAGCTCTCTGACCCAGAGACACCGGGGCCAGAGCAACATGTGAACGGCGCTGAAACTTTGCCCTAGGAATGCACAGCGGTGTGTGCGCACACGCTCTTGTTTGTGTTTCTGTGATACCGCAGCTGGAATGTGACTGTCTTGTGCCTGAATGCCTTTGTGTGTTTTAGTGTCAGCTTCCTATAAGCAGCGCTGATAACCTGCATGCAAAATTTTAAAGAGAGAAAAAAATCAGATTAAACAAAACCCCATTCACACTTTGACTTTTTTGTCATATTTGTGTTACTCTGCTGGATGCCAAAACAAATGTTCTGTGTTTCCTTCTCAGGGAAATGCAGAGAAAGTGCAGGTGAACGTTGGGCTGAGTAATTGATCGATCTAGCTGTGACACACTCTCTTTGGAGAAACTGTCTTGCTAGAGGCTACTTCTGTCACTCCCTGCTCTGACTCACGCTTCACATCACAGCCCAGATCGTGGCCCTGGGCCTCCTCTGTATGCACACACTGAGCCCCGCCCCAGGCCCCCAAGCCTTGCTCTAAGGGAGCTCAAATCCCATAATTGCAGAGCTGACAGTGATAGCTAACATATGAGACACCCTCACCTGGTTGGAAAGAATGAAAACATCTACTGTCAGCGTGAAGTGAGGAGATGAGTGGGGGTGGGACCAAGTGGTGAGGAAAGTTAGCAACATGTGGGACAAAACACTGGGGAAAATAGTAACTGGGTGTTGTGTGATAGCAAGGTGTGGGATTAACTGTAGCACTTTAGCTAGGAATGTTTTTGTAAGGGGTTCATAAGGCTTAACCAAAGATATAAAAAGGCTTAAATAATGATTTGTCCATGGCTGAAAGATCAGAAGTTAGACTTTGTTGCTAGTTATTATCATTATCTTATTTTATTTTATTTTATTTTATTAGGAGGGGTAGGGTAGGAGGTGAAGACTGTGAAAATAAATTTGACAAATTTATATCCAAAAGCATTACTTCATATTCACACTTAATTAATATAACAGCCATGCATTTGTATAAGGAGGAATGCTTACAGTGTTGCAGAAGGTTGATTCAGTTTCTCTGGATGCAAGAATCCAGACAAATACTTGGGAATTGTCTTGAGCACCCACAGTACTTCTTGTACCCACAAAATCACAAGGACAGCATGCAAACTGAAACACAGCAAGGCCTCTGCAAGTTCAAATCTAGAGTCCTTCTCGATGTGAGGAGACAGAGCAAACCACTGCTCCACCTAAAAGGTTGTCTATAGTAGTGCTTCTCTGAGTCATAAAGCATGAATGCCTTGAATAAATGGATTCCACAAACTTTTTTTAAAGCATTTTTTCCTGGTTAACTGTAGGAACAGAAGCAATATTCAAAAATAATATCAGTATATTATCAGCTTATAGCAATTTAAGACTATTTACACCTGTGTACATATTTATCACATGATTTAATGATAACAATAAATTTCTGCTGCTTGTATTTAATCCCGTTCTGTTTTCGTGGTCTCCACTAAGTACTGGGAGGGGGAAAATCATCTATAGCAATTACGTTTCATTATAACCATTGCCAACTCTGTCTGTCTTCTGTTTAGTGCTGGGCAAATATTTTGCAAGAGATCTGTAAGAACCTCTTAGTGAAGATATCCTGCTGCAGCTAAAATCAAGGCAGATGGGCCTGGGACTGAATAAAAAGAGCAAAGCTGCAGGAGCAAAACAAAGAAAAACGAAGAACTAGTGCAGGATGACAGTTGTCAGTGCGTTTATAAGTGAGCTGCTTCAGATTTGGTGGTGTCATTTGAGCCAATGGTAGTATAGAAATATAATAAGCACAGTCTTAACTACATTGGCTTGGTCCGTGTGGTGTTCTCTATTTTATCTGTCAGAGACATTAACAGCAATTAATGACATATAACTTCTCCTTACAATAAGATTACCAACATAACTGGTTTGTCACAAAATACTTCTTGTTACTTCTTGTTACAAATATAGTATGGATGCCTTTGCAAAAAAGGCTAAAATGCACACTTGTTAATGTGAGAAGAGAAATATTCCTAATCTAGAAATTAATGTTAAAAATATATTTCCTTAAAATACGTTTTGTGCAAATTGTTGCACATTACAAATTATTACCCAAGACATGTAAGTGTGATTTTTATGTTGTCCATGCAGAAAGTGGAGCTAAATTGTATTTTGTACTCTAATGAGCATTTTAAACTATAACAGTCCATCAGTGCATGGGAACATCTGATTGTATTGTTCATGTTTTAAATCTTTTAATTTGATATGTTAAAAATGGCTTACAGTTAAACAAAATAGAAAAAAGAAAATAATTTATTTAAAAAGATGTAAGTAGCATGAAAACACTCAAAGCCAGCACTTCAGTACTAGAAAAATATGTGTATTTAATTTCACCCCACATAAACTTTTATAACCCATCATTTGTCATAATGCGAAACTTTTGAACTACAAAAACTAAAGTCGAGCCGTGCAACTGCACTCTTATTATACCAGACAGAAAACATAACTAAGTCTTGTCTTCCCACAAAGTCGCCCTCCTGGTCCCGGAGAGCAGGCTGGAGTGGCCTTCATTTATCAACCACTTCAGCTCCTGCAGACAGCTGTGGGGAGAGCACAGAGGAGCCAGTGTGTTTACACCACAGCTCAGCCTAGGCCCTCAGGACAGAACAGATTAGGACACTTGCACATATTCGTCTGCAGAGCGTGGTGACCTAAGCGTGATAGCTGTCTGATCAGCCGGAGTTCGTATTTACATTTATGATGTGACGATGATACAGCAATCAGTCTGTGAGCTCTGACCTTAATTTGTGTTCTATTATTTATTAATGGAAGAATTCTTTCTGTACCAAGTCATGCCAACTAAAGCTCTGTTTAGATGCTCTAGATATGAGCTTTAAAGCAGGTTTATAGCACCACCTTGTGGCGTAGAAATTAAATGCGCTAATCTCATGCACCGCCCACTCGCAGTGACGCTTCCTCAACCCCACACATTAGCTAGAGGATTTGTCAATCCCCTGCCCGCGGCGTTCATTGGGCAACAGCGCCTGTGCGTTTGTTTTATTGACCTTTGAACTGACAGGGATCAACGCCGAGAGCGATTTCTATTGGTAAATCCACTCACACCCACTTTGCAGTGACCAAATCCAAGTTGAAGGTGAAAGTCTTCCATCATCCCGCTCAGCCAGCTGATCAAGTGACAGCTCGTCTCTTCGTGCTGCCGCAGCCTCCCACAGTGCAAAAAAAAAAAGTAAACAAATAAATAAATATATATATATATATTTATTTTAAAAAATGTCGCTATTTTCTGAAGTCCCCCAGGCTGCCCCTGTGGCTGTCTTCAAGTTGACGCAGGATTTCAATAACGACCAGTTTCCAAATAAGGTGAACCTCGGAGTAGGAGGTAAGTTGTGCATTGTTGTCAGTCATTCATTGCATCCCAGAGGGAAAGGTTCTCCAGCCTGTCTTACACCGAGTTCATCTATGTTTGTATGATGGTGCCCTCATATGAATTTCTAACAAGTTGTTGTCATTATAATCAGAAAGTCACACAAAATTGACTGCTAGCCTCAAACTAAGCACAGCAATAGTTAAAACAGCCTGCTGACTGATATCTGAGCTGTAAAATCGAAACAGAAGCTATCTAGATGTAACTTTAATCAGTTTAGTACACCAGGCAGTCCAGAATGGTGATGGTTCACCTGTGCTGTAATTATTGCTATTGCTTAAATTCATTTTCGGATTAACATAGAGACTGTGAGTATCCGTTAATCTGGCCGCGCTACAGGCTGCTCAGTCATCACACACCCACCAACTACTGATTGCAGCTCTGTTGATAATATATCTTTGTTCTGCAATTAGTGTGACACTGAGAGCTGAATCATCTCTGTCCTCTGCTATCCTGCACCTCTCACTCAGCAGACCAGGCAGCTGATTGGATTACTGTTCTGTCATTACACAAGAACAAGCAGGAGTTTAAATTTATTACAGCTCAGTCGTGCTTCTCTCCGAAACAAACCACTGCCACATTTCGTCCTTGAGAGCAGCTGTTTTCTGTGCTAACCTCTCTGCAAGGAGTCATTTCTTCGCTGCTTGAATTGCACAGGAACAGTGTGAGAAGCGTTGATCGCTTAGCTCTGTTTTGGCAGGACAAGGATACCTGAGTCCTGTGATTAGCAGAGGAGGCTGAGGCCTCGTAATCCCTTTCTTTCTCCAGATGGTCAGCTGCTACATGGCAGCTGGGAAATGTAGGCCACACATTTCTCTCTACCTAAAAAAACACAGAGATCTGAAAAAGATCCTTGACTGTAAGGATTTTCTGCTTTTCTGTGACTTTTCAGTCACACGTGACTATAGTACCGGCCCTAGATCTTAATTTAGATGTATTATTACAGATAATCAGTGCCTTTCCAGCTAGTGGACATAACAGAGAGAAAAAGGTAGATCATCGACATCGCCTGGCTAAATCACCCAACAGATATTGAAAGTGCGCCTGTCACAAAACCCTGTGATCTTTGCACTTCTGTTATGACTCAAGAGTCCCATAAAGTCACAAACATCAGGATTACCAAGGTACAGGTGTTAAGCTCGCAAGCTAACCACTTCTGTCTGCTGTATCTGTTTACTGAGCAATTTAAGGAATGTTATATTTAATCTTACTTAGAGGTTTCTTTTTGCTTAAAACTCACTAAAAAAACAACATATCAATGCAGGAGGGAAGGGCCGCTTCCTACTATATTAAGCCATTCTTTCACTTTTTTCTTTAACATTAAATCGCATTGTTCCTTGCAGCCTATCGGACAGATGAAGGCCAGCCCTGGGTTTTGCCGGTGGTGAAAAAAGTGGAGAAGATCATTGTGCATGATGACAGGCTAAACCATGAGTACCTGCCAATCCTGGGCCTGCCTGAGTTCAGATCCTCAGCCTCCAAAATAGTACTGGGAGACAACAGCCCTGCCATCCAGGAAAACAGGGTTTGTGGAGTCAAAAGCCAAACGACACTCTTTGAATTTCTAATGTTTTTACATTTAAACTGACTGTTCGAATGTCACTGCCAGGTCGGGGCTGTCCAGTGTCTGGGTGGTACGGGTGCTCTGAAGATAGGCGCAGAGTTTCTAAGGCGGTTCTACAATGGGAGCAACAACACCAAAACACCCATCTATGTGTCTGCACCCACCTGGGGTACATTCAAGCACACACACAAACAAGCAGTGAAGTAGCACACACCTGTAGAGGACTTTAATTTACAGGTTGTTTTGTGAACTTTCCCCAGACTTTAAACTGTAGTTGTTGATAAAGTGTTCTATTGATAAATGTCTTCTTACAGCTGCATGTTATCAGTGAGCCTGGCTGTATTGTCAGGTCGGATGTGAGGAGTATTTAAAAAAGCATTATTCACTCTTTTATCTAATGAAAGCAATGATAAAAATCGAACGCTGCCCTCAGAGTTTTTCTTACTGTTTTTCTCAGAAAATCACAATGCTGTGTTCAGCAGCGCTGGCTTCGAGGATGTTCGTCCGTACAGGTACTGGGACGCGGAGAAAAGAGGCCTTGATTTGGCTGGCTTCCTTGGTGACTTGGAAGTAAGTACTGCGTGGCAGCATACTGTTCACTTATTACTACATTTTGGTCTTCTGGGTTTCACATTGCTTCTTCATATCTCCGTTTCCCACAGAGTTGTCCAGAGCACTCAGTCTTTGTCCTGCATGCTTGTGCCCATAATCCGACAGGCACAGACCCCACGCAGGAGCAGTGGAAACAAATCGCTGAAGTTATGATGGTAACATGCGTATAAAGTGCATGCAAACATATACAAATTGTCTGTACTGTGGTCTGAACTGCCACTACTGGCAAAAAGGTGTCATTTTAAACAGGATATTATTTTGCATGCACAGTGTTTATCTCAGTATGATAACCCTTTGATCTTTTATCCGGTTCTCTCCCAGAGGAGGAAGCTGTTTGCGTTCTTTGACTCGGCTTATCAGGGATTCGCCTCAGGTAGTCTGGAGAAAGATGCCTGGGCGGTGCGCTACTTTGTTTCCTCGGGCTTTGAAATGTTCTGTGCCCAGTCGTTCTCCAAGAACTTCGGACTCTACAGTGAGTGATCCTGTGTGTAAAGTGTGCTTGGTATGAATCTACAGAAAATCCCAAGATAAATCAACTGCAGGGATTAAACTTTGCAGGAAGAGTAACCTTAATATACATCTGTCTGTGAAGGTTCTCAGTCATCCAGTCATCTTAATATACATTGGTCTTATTTTCAGATTATGCTGAGTATAATGTGCACAGAATACATCAAAAACTCTGTTAAATTGAAAGGAATAGCCACAAAATTCAAATTAAGCAAGTCTCAGATTCACCAGAGGAGGAGCTGTTTATCAGATACTGCACCTACACATCAGGTAACAGGTATTAGCTGCTGTATTGTTTAACTGTGACATGTTTTTGTCCCATCAGACGAGCGTGTGGGCAACCTGACCGTTGTGGCTCGCGATGCAGATAACCTGAAACGAGTTCTCTCCCAGATGGAGAAGATTGTCAGGATCACCTGGTCCAACCCACCGTCTCAAGGAGCTCGCATTGTCACCATCACTCTTACCTCACCTGAGCTTTTTAGTGAATGGTAAGTGTAAAATAGCATCATTAAACGATGACTCATACCTGTGCATGAGGCAATATTAAAAAGCAGTCGATATCAGACATGCAGAGTGTTTTCATTCTCTGACTTTAGGCAAGAGAATGTGAAGACCATGGCTAACAGGGTCTTGCTGATGAGGTCTCAGCTGAAAGCTAAGCTCCAAGCTTTGGGGACACCAGGGACCTGGGACCACATCACAAACCAGATCGGCATGTTTAGCTTCACAGGCCTCAACCGTGAGTACAGCAATCACTTCCTTCTGCACACAATCACAGCTCTGTAAAAATGCACATTCCACTGGTCAGTTTAACAAACAATTTCATGGTATCCAAGTTGTTTTAGTTTTTGGGGGGTCGATTTTAAAAAGATCTTTAAAAGATTCAAACACAGTCAGTAAAACTTAAACCAGTATCTGGTGATTTTCCTGCAGCCAAACAAGTGGAATATTTGGTGAAGGAGAAACATATCTACTTAATGGCGAGCAGTCGCATCAACATGTGCGGTTTAACCACCAAGAACATCGACTACGTGGCCGAGTCCATCCACGAGGCCGTCACCAAGGTCCAGTAGAAGAACGGCACCATATCTCCAATTCTCACCACTTCCTGCTGCATTCCTGATCCATCCTGATCACAGGGAATGTGTTTGCATCCAGGTTTCCAGATTTTTCTGGAGCAAATACAATTTCTCATGTGCACAGAGAGCTCACAGGCCCCTGGTTTCTCATTCTTTTTCAGTATTTGTGCTATGCTAGGCTAAATGCATGCTGGGACCAAGTTCTCTATAGACTGCACGAAGATCGTTTGGATCTTTTTTAAGAGCCACAATTTTCCAAACTCTGGAGTACTTATGTAATTGTGTTCATAATTTTTCACCCTTATCTTAGTCCCCAATGTATTGTTTGTAGCTCAAAATATGCGTTTGGTATTTCAAGTTTTATGCATCATTAGAAGCAAGTCTGTGGCTGTATTACGGTTCCTCAGCAGCACTGACTCTACAGTCTAAAAATGTTATACTGTTCATGACTCATCCATTCAAAGTGTGAAATAGAAGTATTTGTGTGGACAGCAGTAAGAGTTGTTAAGGGGAATGAGAAAAAGAGAATATTAACATGACTAATCTGTATATTTGTGTTTACCACCCCGACGATGAATGAAGAATAAAGAGACAGTGTTTGTCATTTCTAGATTAAATGTGAACAAATGTTCTAAGGAGGATTTAAGCCTGAACTATGTAATCATATTCATGACAAGGCTCTATGCTAATGACCTCACATTTAATCTGTATTTGTAGAGTCTTTTTTTTTGCTTCCAGTTGACATTCAGTGAGCACAAATGACACTGAGCGTTCTGAACAGGTGCCGTGAACCTGGGGTCGTCACTGCATGCTGAAGGGTTTTGATGTTTCTGGTTCTGTCAGGTACCTGCCAGTGGACGTTGACTGTTCATAGCAGCCGGGCACTGTTACGCAACATTCGTTTGTCACAGCACAAACAAACTAATGATCAACCAGGTTGCTGTCGCACTACTACGCAGGGCATTTACGAAACAGACGTATTGTTTAGCAATGAAAATGTCCTCAGACATTCTGATCAAATGAATGAACTACTTCAATAAAAAACTGTCAAACAGATGTGTGTGAAACTGAGTGATAGTGTTTGCATATAAGCACTGACCTTTAGCAGGCCCTGCAGATCAAGACAAATGAAGCAGACAAGAGCAATACTCCAGTAGATTTATTAGTAAATTAATTTACCCTTGTGTAGAATGATTGATCCATTTCTTGATATCTTTGGGTTGCTAATATATTCCTCTGAATTTTGCATTACAAAATGTATCTTTGTTAGTTTACCCCAAACAAACACTACATCAATCCTTACAAATATAAAGAGGTGAAAACCAACTGCAAATTCTGTAAAAGCCTCACCCCTAAAGTTCCAGATTCACACTTAGAGTCAACAGATCAAAACACACTCCCCCAGCGTGTTTGGTACAGCGGGGTCATTGTAAAAAGCTTAGCAGTGCAATAACCTTTGTACTTAGCCTTACCAGGCAGATTGAATTAAATCACTGAGCGTACCAGAACACCACCTTTGTGTGCATTTGAAAAGAGGCGGTGGCTTGACGTCAGTGTATGTCATATTGCTTTCGTCAGGCAAATCTCCCTCTGTTCAGGTTCAAGATTTCAAGAAAAGAGATCAGCGTAGTCCACTGGGGGACTAACTCACAATTTAAATGGAATCAATTCGTTTATTATTGCAGTAGGAGATTATTTCCTGTTTCTTATTAAAATGTTCCTTCTTGAGCAGCCTTCTTGTGCTTCCTCTGAATTCCCCAATCCCCGTGTACATCATTAGTAGCTGTTAAAGCAGAACCTTCAATGAAGTCTGCAGCCTTGTTTTGTGCTTCTCCATTAGCTGGCAGCATTTGCTGATTCTTTTCAACGTTAGCAATTAAAACCCAAAATCTGCTGCCTATGTGTAAGCCATCTTAAAATCTACATAGGATTCAGGAAAGTCAAACAGTGTCTCAGTTCTGAGAATGTACTGCAGCCTAGTCATGCATCGTAGTCATGCATATGGAAAAGCAGGGGGTAATTCTATAGTAAAAGCAGCACAGAGAAACATGCAAGTAGCAACTTCTTCTTCAGTAATGCCCCTAATGTTCATCTGAATCCCCAAACCCAAAGATCCAAATCCCATAAACCCCTAGCTTATTTTTAATTGGTGTGTGCAGCTTTAGTGAGTGACCCTGTGCGAAATGAACTGTACATAGACAACTTTCTATGCTCCCTAAGAAATGCACAAAAGACAATGTGTTCTACTGAATGCAATCAAACAACAGATTAATGACTGTTTATCTAAAATATGAAGACACCAAGGAAAAAAGGTGGAATGGTGGTTGCTTGATAGAAACACGTAAGGTGTGTCTGTACAGCTACATTTATGAACTTTATGAATGAACGTGGAGTGCAGTGATAAGTCCAAGTGATTTACAGTATTTAGGAGGACTTATATTGCTATCTTTAAATTACTTTCCTCACACTTCCATATAAAAACTCGGGTATATGACTATAACCTTCTACGTTGCTGAGTCACTGAATACAACAAGTAGTCTTTCAAGCTGAGGATTAATTGGTGGCTTTTTTTTTTTAAAATATAGGTATATAGTTACAATGTTTCTCTTAAAAAAAAGTTGTGCTCTTATTGTTTGACTTTCTATTTCCGCCACTGGTTAGTGTGTGTTGGGTTGTGTGGCAGTAGTTTGCCGCCTTATGGCAACATTAGGACAGTTCCCTGTGCAAACAGTGGTTTCAGTACAGTATGTGGAAACTGCCTTGTTAACATGACAACTCAATAATAAATATCAGTGTATCAGTTGGCTCAGATACTATCTAAGGCCCTTGTTGGGTTTATAGTGACAAAATTCAAAAACAAGTTACAGTTTAAATGTTATGAATAAATGTTAACCTTGTGGATAGAGCTAACATATAAAAGAAGGATGTGCCAGTAACTACAAAAGATGCACTGGTGCAAAGCTGGATAACTCAAATACTACTGTTTAGATCCGTCCAATCACGCTTTATACATCAAGTGGGCCAGGGTGGGACCTGAGTATTTTAGATGGCTACAGCAGATAAGATGGCTCAGTATCCTGAGAGTTGAAGGGGGTATACGAAGAGTTTGTAGTTAATGTAGTTAATCTTGTGAATGATAAAGAGGAAGAGGATGTGTGCGTCATCCCTCTTCCTACATGCCACTGTGCTAGCTCGTCACTGGCTGTTGCTCTGAACCTTCCTCCAAACTGTTTTCTCCATCCCGAGACTTTTTCCTCCTCTTGTTACCTAGAAACAGATGAGAACATGTTGTGAAAATGCAGCAGCTCCCATTTTTATAAAGACCAAAAGCATGATACTTGTACTACTTTTAAATTAAACTTGTCACAAACTGATATAACATCAGATGTACAGTACAGCAGAACTACAGCCTCAAATAAATAGATAAAAGTAACTGTGTTATATTGTATGTGATCCAGAATGGCTTAGTTGCATCTGGAGAATGAGCTTTGCAGGAAGCAGCAGGCTGTTGAGAAAGACGTAGCACATCACCTGTTGCTAAGATACACTCGGCACCGTCGCTATGTCTGACAGAAAAGTTGGGGCACATCTGACAGCATGTGTGGGAGTGCTGTCGCATTAGTGTTTATGACAAATGGCTTACTCACTCAATTTACGCAATAGCTTCTTGCCAATGTTCTCCTCAGAGCTGGACAGAGACAAAGAGCTTATGAAGGGAGAGGTGGATGGCTGAGACTCTGTAGGCACATCTGAGGGAGAAAGTTCGAGAGTGAAAGGGAGGGGGGTGCTACGTAGATACACGGCCCACACTAGGTGACAAGTTCTGCAAAAGATTTTGTAGAGTAGCTTTAAACTGAGATTCCTTAACTTGTGACGTAAGTAAAAAAATGAACACATCCTCCACAGCTTGAAAACCAGGAAATACAGAGCTATATTCACGCTCTGGCCACTTTACTAGGTACACTTAGTACCATGTTGGACCCCCTCTTGCCTCCAGAACTGCCTTAATTCTTTATGGAATGATCATGATTACACCACCCAGTTGCTGCAGATTTGTTGACTCTACATCCACAATATGAATCTCCCATTCCATCACATCCAAATGGACCTCTATTGGATTCAGCTCTATGCTGGCCATTTGGGTATAGTGAACTCACTGTCATGTTCAGTAGAACAGTCTGACATCATTTGAGATTTGTGACATGCCACATTATCCTATAAACGTTGGTACTAAGGGGACCGGCCATTCTCCTCTGAACTCTGACATCAACAAGGCATTTTCTCCCAGAGAATCATCGCTCACTGAATGTTTTCTCTTTTTCTGATCATCATTCATGGTTGTGTAGGAAAATTCCAGGGGATCAGCAGTTTTTGGCACCAACAACCATGCAACACAAGTCACCTCTCTTCCCAATTCTGATGCTCAGGTTGTCCAGACATTGTCTACATGCCTAATTACTGCTACATGAAAAAATATTTGTGTTAAACAGAAACAGGTGTATCTAATAAAGTGACCAGTGAATGCATCTCTTTACTTATGGAAAAAAACGTTTTCTGGAAACTTTTTTTTTTTCATTTGAAGATGAAAAAATTAAATGTTTGATTGTTGGCTGTATCGAGCGGCACTCACCATCCTCTCCATGACTTTCTGGCCGGTCCTCATGGATATAGGGAATCTCATCCATGCGAAGGAACACGGTATCATTTGGACTTCTCTGCCCATCGGATTTACTGCCTGTAAAATGAAATTAAACAAGTAAACGAGAAGCAGCATATTTGTAACTCTACCTGAAGAGGGAGCTAGAGAGCTTAGTATTATTTAAGTGTTTTGGGGGCCTCCAAGAGGAGGCTGAATATTAAAAATAGTACCCAGTGTAGGATTAAAAGTAAAAAAGAGGACCTACAACTAGCAGAGGAAGTTTCATTCTTACATGGTAATTTAAAGCTGTAAACACTTTTTTTTTGACAACCAGAGTGGAGCCATCTGTCCGCGACTTTTCTTAATGGAACTAACAAGCACACAAAAGTGGGTGACGGGCTACACACTGCATAAGACAGATGGTATGTGGGACCCCTTTAAGCTTCGAAACAAGTACAGATTGGTTGATGTCACATTTGAACGACTCCTGTGAGTGAGTCATTTTGAATATTTGCCGTTTGTGAGTCATTCTTTACGTCTGTCAGTGCCCTCCATAAATATGTTGAATGAATCTGATTCAAAGTGTTGAATTTCTGTGTTAAAGCTTTTCTCTGATTTCAAATATGAGGCCCAATGAAATGTTAATGCAAGTAAAAAAAACACCATCATTTCGCATCATTAGAGACAGTAAAAACCTCACAGAGATGGTAAAAGCAACAATCTGATACATTCTTAAAAAGAGTGAATGCACTGGTAACCTCAGCAACACCAAAAGGCCTAGCTGAAGAACAACTTTACATCATCTAACCAAGTCAAAAACTGTCTCGAGGAGGTTTTGTATCACTGTCAAAGCCTACAATCAAGAGACTTGTTCATGAATGGAAATTCAAGGGTTTACAACAAGGTGCAAAGCATCGTTTACATTCCAGAATAGAAAGATCAGATTAGATTTTGCCAAAAAACCTCTAAAAGGGCCTGCACTGTGCTGAAAAAAAAAAAAAAGAAAATCACTCGACCAGATGAAAACAAGATGAACTTGTATGGTTATGGTGGGAAGAGAAAAATGTGGAGAAGGAGAGAAAGGGCTCATGATCCAGAGCATGCCACACTGTTTATCTGCTCATTATGTGCAAAAGCAACAAAGACTTTCTCCAGGTGAAGAAATTAGATAGTCTTTGACAGCCAAGTCAGCCACCTGATCTCAACTCATCAGTGCGTGATGAATGCAGAATGACCCACAAACAAGCAACAACCAGCTGCAGAAAAGGCCTGGCAGAGAATCTCAAGGGAGCAAACACATTTGGTAACGTTTGGCGTGTTCTAGGCAGCCAAGTTTTTTCATTTTTCAAGTATTAAACTGTTAGCAGTCGGACGTACCGCCCACGGGACATTGGATGGTTTAGGGGACTAATAGG